GAGCAGGCAGGCCCATAAACTGGAGGTCAGGAAGAAGGGAACAAAGGCCTGGAGGGTCTTCATGCATCCATGCCACCTCTAGCAAGACAGACTCTGAACACCACCTGCTTGGGAGGTTAAGTTGAGCCCCCTTTCTCTGGTGGATAGGTACGTAGAGGAGCCTTTCTCCCCCACAAGCATCCTTTCTCCCCGTCCACTCAGCCTCCAACTTTTATAACTCCACAAGCATCATGGTTGGGTGGTTTGATTAAAGATAGCTATTTTTCTACTGCAGAAATGCCTTGGACAAAACCAGTTGCTCACTGAATCTTTGCCACTCAATGGAACAGGCTCCCCAGGTGGCAGGCTGTGCTGCCTCTGTGCACATCTCCTGTTGAGCCTCCCAGTGCTCAACAGCCCCGCCCACCCTGCCTGGCTGCCCAGTTCTCAAGAAGCGGTCTGCTGCCGCCTTTACTCTGAGGGCAGTACTGCCCTGCCTTGTGCTTGTTGAGAGGCGTGACTTCTCCTTTTCCTCTGGGAATTCCAGACTGACCATCTACCATGACTAACAATGAACAAAGGGCTTAGGGGTAAGAGCTACCTACAAAGACGCGTCATGGAAACCTTCACCATGCAATGCCTTGAACTCAGCTCTGGCTGCTCCCAAGAAAAGGTGGCTGGCTAGGGGCCTGGACACAAGCACAACGGGGCTGGTGGGGCCACTGTGCAGAGCTACTTGAATATTCCCTGGGTCTTCACCAACTCCTTTTGTAATACAGACCACTCAAGGGCTGAAGTGTTGGTAACCTTCATTTCGGTGTCCAATGCCTCACAGCAGCTGAGCCACCCTGAGATGCTTGTGGCCAGGTGGTGGCCGCAGTCAGAGCTTTGAAAGTCAGTACCAAATGAACGTGTAATTGGACACCAAAAGTCAAGTGTTACTCTCATGTTTCCTCACCCTACCATCTCATTTCTTCCTGCTGACTGTGATCCCTACTCTAAGCTGACCAGTCAGGCTACAGCTGGCTGCACAAAGTTGCCAGCCAGCACCATCTCCTGCTTTCAGACAGACCTACTCCATGGGAAGGACGCGGCCTAGCTGCTTTGTTTCTGTAGCACTTGATGGCTGGACTTTTCCCTTTGCTACTCACTAACCAGAAAATCTGGGTAGGACTCAAATCACTCCCTTCAATCCCCAGGACCAGACAGAGAGTTAATTCTGGAAAATTCAGTACTTGAATGTACCTGCCTTACTGTGTACCCATTCGCTGGGGGGGAGGGGGACTAGCGATGTCGGCTCTAGATAGCCACTTCATTCACAGGTTATTTTGAAAATCCTGTAAGTTATACTTCCTGTCCTGATTTCTTTTGTTTTGTTTTTTAACATCTGGCTGATTCCTGCTGAGTTGGGCCAGTTCCTGTGGGGCTCAGGGCAGGTTCCATCTAGCACAGCATCTGTGTCTCTGTTCTGTCTCCTCCAAATCCAAGATGATTTTAATTAGTACAGACATGTACAGTCTACAATTAAAGAGTGATTTGTACTAATATGATTTTGATTATTCCTCTTTGCTGTCCTTTCAAGACACTTGCTGGAAAAGCTTTAATGCACTTAGTTTTCCTTTAGGTTTTCTATCACTCAGATGTAAAGGACTTTCTCTGTACAGTATATTATCCAATGCATGTTTGTTCTCTATCCTAATATATCGAACACCACACAGTCGTGAACTCGTGCAGTGGGGACGCCCCACACCCAGCGGAGGCCTCTAGCCCCGTGTATGAGGAAGACAATTCCTTTGCTGTACTTGCTTGAACAGTTTTATTGTCTGTACATGTGAGCTGTGTGAGATAGATGTGAAAAGTTCAAATGAATGCATTTCCCTGCCCATGTATACAGAGCGTCCTCTGTACAATGAGCTGTATGTATGAAAGCAAATGTACTTATTTATAAATGGTCAACACTTGGAGAAACCTGGTGTCTGGTGCTTTTCTCCTTCGTGCTCTGTCCAGGGACCTAACTGACTTTGAGCTCACTCTCCCCTGAAATGGCAGTGCTGAGGAGGCCAGCCCATGGAGAACTCAGACGTCCCGGCTAGGATCAGATTCCTGGTGACTTGCTTGCTCTGCTGTGAGAGACTCAGAGTCATGCCATCTGCATCTGTTCACCGAGTTGTCAAGCATCTCTGAGGTGGACACTGATAGTGCTTGAGGGAGTTGTTGGCACAAGACAGCTCTAGAACAGCAGTGAAGGCTGGCCATGTGTGGAGTTAAAGGGCCTTACTCTTCAGGAGCAGCATTACAGGGTACTGCACTCCCTTTAGTTTGTGTGTTTGGGTTGAGTTTGACTGATTAATCCATGGAATCACTGTGTTTCTGGGACTGGCCAGGAACTCCTGGACTAATGATCCTTTTGCCTCAGCTTCCCAGGCCTAGCACAGTCGTGCCACAGTCATCTTCAAATTAGAGAAGATTCCAGAAGCCACATGCTAAGTCTGAAAACTGTTTGCTCCATTAGCAACTAGAGATTTTAAATAAGAAAGAAAAAACAGTTGACAAAACTCCAGCTTTAATGGGATCCCTATAGTATGGAAAGAATAAAACGAGAGTTTGGGGGGAAAGTAACTATTAAAAGCGTTTTCCTAGATAAAAGTGAAAAAGCAATGAGCATCAGATGCCTTCCTGTTATGGTGTCCCTTATTGGTTGCCTTTGGTAACTATGGGCAACTGCTTTCCTGTACTGGCCTGGGAAGGAGCTATTCTTCTCTGCTGGACTGGGAAGTCAGGCAGAACCCAGTGGAAGGTAGTGCAGCAGGACAACTTAAAGTCAAGCCGTGTGAGCATGGAGCCCCTGATGATTGAGTCATTGTGTTCCCAGGATGGCCTGGAAAGCCCGGGGTAACAAGACCAAGAGAAAGGACTCGGAGTCACTTCTATTATCTGGGCTGGATTATACCAGAGACTGAGCTAGGGACTTAACACTCCGGTGACACACAGAAGCCAGACCCAAAAGCCTTTCATCAGAGCATCTGTGGTCATTCTAAAGCAAGGCCTCCCTGTTTGCTTATAAGTATTTAAAGCACATGACTGAGAACATGTTACAGGCTATTCCATCACACACAGAGGAATAGGTAAAAAGTTACTGTCATAGCCTCCAAACCTGCTACTCCCTGCCTTTCCCAGTGGCTCTTTAAAAAAATTTTTACTGGCTGAGAATTTCGTACATGTGTATTTTGATCCTATCCACCTCTCAGTCCCTCCTGGCTCCTCCCAGACTTCTACCATGTCTCTCTCCCAACTTCATGGTTGTCTTTTGGTTTGGTTTGGTTTGGTTTGGTTTGGTTTGGTTTGGTTTTAATCCACTGAGTCCAATTAGTCCCATAAGCAAGTGCTGGGATTAAAGGTGTGTGTCACCACTGCCTGGCCTCTACGGCTAACCAGTGACTTAGCTCTGCACTCTGATCTTCAGGCAAGCTTTATTTGTTAGCTCACACACAAAATAGCACTACAGACTGCCTCTGGATAGAGAGGAGACAGACATGGCCCCATCAGCAAATGGCAGCTTGTAAAGAAAGGTACAAGGGGAAACCCATGTTGGGATGAGTTTTTTTGTTTTGTTTTGATTGGGCGTGCTAATGGAGTAACTGAAAGGGGGCTTTTGATTGCTGGACTTCAATATTATGATAGCTGGACCTTGGTGGTCAGCCTTAGGAGGAGGAAGTGGCCAAATAAGGGAATAGACCTTGGTGCTAGCTTTAGGAATGTAATCTACAGTTTAGCTGTGGGTGCCATGTTTGCTATGCTGGGGCCCTGCTAGAGCCCTTCATGATCCCCTCCCCTGGGGCCAAACTGGACCACCACAGAGACATGGCTGTCTATGCTGAGATCCTACCAGTCACTCTATCTGCTGTACACACCCTGGGGACAATTTCTGTCATCTCTAGTAGAACTAACTTTGTGAATCTGATGGCTTGAAGCTTTGGATCCTTTTCTTGCCTGACCAAATGAGAACAGAAGACGAGTGGTCTGCCATAGACATTTATTGACTCATCTGTTGCACCAACAACACACTACGTCACAGGAGGCAGGTCACAGGCAAACAAGGAACCACACACATCTGCTTGGGGGCCTTCTTTGGTCCTTAGTCATTTGGCAAAAGGACTAGTTTACAGACTAAGTTCTAATTTTCTGTGTAGTCTAGCAAGGGAGACTCGCAATGGCAGTCAGTAGTTTGTCTAAGGACCAGTCTCCCACATGTAAACATCTGGCTACACAGTGTGCTGGCTGAGGAAAGAGTTGATAGGATCCCTAGCCTTGCAGCATATGCAATTGAAACTGAAGGCAAACCTCAACACCCCTGCCAATGGAGGGATGGAAGAGGGGGCCTGGGTGATGGGCAGCCCCAGGGAGAGCAGGGCTCCACCACGGCTGGGGAAAGAAACATCACCTGAAACAGGACCCACGGCACAGTTATTAGGAATCTAACAGAAGGCCAGCCTGTTGACCTAAAGGAATTGTCAGGCTGGTTAGGTTAACCATGTCTGTCACAAAGCTGGAGGCTCCTCAAAGCCCAAGAGGAAAGAGTGTTTGCCAAGCCCAAGAAGCACAAGATCAATGCTCTAATCACATTGTTTCTAGACTCAAGCCAAAGAGTGACTCAGCTAACAACACAACAGGCAGTAGGGGGTTGAAGCTGTGTGCAGATGCCACAGGAGACTGATCCCGTTCCTCTACTCCACTTCAGTCATATTGTCCAGCAAAGATGGACCCAAGTGTGGGAGGACAGGGAGGCTCCATGGCTGCTTCAGCCAAGCCAGGGCACCCCAGCAGCTCCCTGGAGAGCAAAACAAACAGCAGGACTCCTCTAAAAACTCAGGAGGAATAGGCCTCCCCTCCCAGAGCCTGCCCAGGCTGGTCTGCAGAAGGAAACCAGAGCTCAACCCCCCTACCCTCCCCAGGGCTCAATCCACCTCTCCCCCCGTGCCAGGAGGAACCACCAGGGTGGCTGGAGGCCAGGAGGCCCTCACTACCAGGAGCCTGCCCTCATCCACCAGCACTCTGAGCGCCTATCCCCTTCCCAGAAAAGCCTGTTAAGGCTCAGGGATTAAAGAACAGAATGGTCCCATACTGTGGCCAAGCCACATGGCAGGGTTCCTTCGGGGGCCGGGCTGAACCCTTTTGGGGAACCTTATCCTGAACACCAGCATACTTTACTCATAATATCACTGGCTCTACTGCCAAGGACACGTGCTTCCCGAGCTGCTGGGTTGACTACACAAGCAGCAATCTTGGCTTTTCCATGACAGTCCCTTAGGCCCAGACCCAGCCATCTGCTGCCTGGTAGGTGGGACTATAGTCTAGCTCCTCTAAGGGTCAGGACCAGATGACTCCCAGGTCCCCTGACCAAGGTTTCTGCATGTGAATGGGTAACAGGGTACAGGCAGGGTGTACATTACAGAGTGCATCAAAAACTGCAAGCGAGGAAGGGAAAGCAGAGGGCAACCCCAAAACCTGGAACCCCACTAAATTAACACCGCTGGCCTGCACTCCTGAACCTAAAGACTCAGGCTTTGCAGGGAGGAGCAGAAAGACACCTGGGAACCCTCAGAACCACAAGGGCCACCCAGGGCTGTCACTGGGGACTAGGGCTGTCTCCCTCTGTCAGTGTCTTGAAGTCCATGGAGAGGGCTTGCTCTTCAGCCTGGGAAGGCCGCTTCCAGTCAGCTTGAGCCAGGATGTAGAGTACAACCACCCCAAAACAGATCAGCAGCAGACCCAGCACATTGACCAGGAGCCCCTCCGGTTCAAACATGCTGTACTTCGTCCTGTAGGGCGAAGGGAGAAGTCACCAAGGGTCCCGTTAGGACAAATGCAGAACAGGCCTTAAAGATGCCGGTTTCTCAGTGCCAGTCCTTCCGCCCTTCCAATGAGAAAAGCCAGCTCAGAGAGAGGCTACCAATGAGGCGGAGTGCACTGGGGCCTGTCTCTTGAGGACACTCACCCAAGTTTGAACAGCAGCGCCTCCTTCAGGCCCAGGAGGGCTGTGCCCACAGAAAGGAGGAAGATAGTGGCTCCAAAAAAGATGTGCTGGGGACGGTAGCGGCTACGCAGAGAGAACGAGGCTCCAGGGAACAAGAAGAAGCTGAAACCCACGAGCCACTAAAAGGAGAGAGGACTCTACTGAGCCATGAGCTGGCTGTGACCAAACTAACAGGAGGCCACCAAAGCACCCCTGCACCCCCCCCCACATGCCAGCAGTGGCACATGGAGCATTTATAGGGAAGGTGGCCGGGTCCCCATACTTGAAGCCACTGTCTTGAGGCCTTGGACCTCCAACAGAAGCTCCGTGGACTCAGAAAGGGAGGCTCATGACTCAACACTTGTACAGAGTCAGTGGGAAGGGCAAAGGGATCTGGGACACCCTGGCCTCTAGAATCCTAGGCTTATACCCAGTTCAGCCTCTGAAAAAGCATCCAACTAAATTAACCTGTGCTCTCTCCTCTGAACATGCACCCTGGAAAATGGCCGCCTTCAAGGTGCACCTGAGCCCCGCTCCCTTCCTCCCCCTCTCCCTCCCCCTCCCTCCCCTCCTTCCCCATCCCCTGCTGGAGCAAGACTCACCTGCACAAAGTAAAGAACAAAGACTAAGATCCCACACCAGCTGTGTAAGCTGTACAGGTCAGCATAGCCCTTCTTCTTGTGATAGTCGAACACAGCCACCAAGCCTGGAGCAGAGGCAGGGGCCATGTGAGGACAGGGCTGGACATGGAGAAGGGAGAGGAGGGGAGACCCGGGGGAAACTGCTAGCCAGAACTCCTGGGCTTTGGTCCAGCCCAGTGATGGCTAGCATCCAGCCTGGGATGCCTGTGAGGAGAGTGGGGCTAGGCCAAGAAGCCTGGGGTAGGGACTGTACATCCAGCAGCAGCTGCTGGACCCTAACACAGCAGGTGGAGATGGAAGGCTGCACCCAGGAACTCACCCACCAGGGCGATGATGAAGGCAACGACGTGAAGCAGCCCGTGCAGGACCTTGGTCGTACGTTTGGCCTCTTTTCTGAAGACCCGGTACACCAGCAGAGCTTGTGGGAAGCGAGATAAAGCTTTAAGTGGGTTAGGCCAGTGCTAGACACACAAGGAAGCCTGCCTGGCTGGACAGAGGTCTGTGCCAAGAGCTTGCCAAGGTTTGCCAGTCACAGAACTGGTGGAGAAAACGGGACTGCATAGGGACCTTGTACCCACCCATCCTGCTTTTGATCAAGGGTGCCCTTGAGTCTTCTACCCCATGCACACTCAAGGACCAGGAGAGGAGGCTGTGCCACTTTTCCTCCACCATCTAAGGCAGCACTCTGCCCTGGGTACCGACTCAGAGCAACTGCTAGGCCTGGGAGACACTTGGCCTTGCCAGGTGCCCTGTAATGCAGATCCCAGTGTTCAGGACTCGTCACACAGTCAAACTGCAGTGCTGGCCAGACTCAGTGTACCTATTAGCAGAGAGCGCAATTCTGGAGCCTTCCTAAATAGATAGTCACTGCTCTTGGCAGGCCGATTCCCAGCTTCAAGGCTCAATGTGATCCTGTCCAATACTCACTGCTGCTGCAGGGGCAGGCAGGGCCCCTAGGACCTCCTGCTGGGAGATGGCTGTCACTCGGTCCCACCCCCACAGTTCAGCTCCTTGTAGGCTGTGCTGAAGCCACGCACCTGCTGGCTCTTATCCCAGGGGCATCCATTCCAGCTCAGCCAGGTCTCCATTCAACAATGCACACGTGCACACGCATCTACTTTCCCCAGATTCCAGCTGCCCCTGATGATAGTTTGGCTCACAACCGAACTGACTCTGCTCTAGAAGGCCGCCATGGCCCCTGAGATGCCACCTGCTGAAGCCAGCTATCACTCTCCAACCACAGGCTCCCGGGACTACCCACGAGACTCACCATCTCCTTGCAGGAAGATCATGCCTATGACCATGCAGAGGGGATGCACATTAAACTGCAGGGCACTCTCCCAGGCAATGCCACCTCGGTACAGGCCCAGCCACGCACCAGTCACAGCCACCACGGTGAGGCCCAGCAGCTGGGAGAAGGCCACGTAGTAGGGCAACGTAGCAGGGACGAGGGCAGCACTGTGCTCCATGCTGAGACCTCAGCTGCAAGAGAGACAGAGCTCTAGGGAGCCACCCACAACCTTCAAAAGGTACAACCTGCCTCAGGGCTGCTGCCGACTCCTCCACCCTCGCGTCTAAGCTGTGCACATTCCCTCTCCCACCTTCAAAACCCCTGCTATCACCCTGGGGCAGAGTCCCCAAATCACAGCGACACCTCAGCAGGAGGCCAAGCCTTCCCACGAGCCTGACCTGGGCTCTGTGTACAAGGGAGGGCACACGTTTAAAAAGTTCTGATGACAGCGTGGACCCCGTCCCTGGGTTAGAATTCCTGTTTCCTGCTTCTGGGTTGGAGCTGATGGATACATCGGAGACACAATTATATTCCCTAAAGGTGCGGGCTTGCCACTGCCTTCCCCAGATGGGTGGGAAAGTCCTTCTCCGGCCGGAAGTGAAACCCTTGCTCCTTTACCCATTTGTAAGCCTCAACCCCTGGTCCTAAGAGCCAGCATGGGTTCCTTGTTCTATGTAGCTGTGTTCTGCCCCTGCTGTGCCAGCCAGGGAGCCCCCAGTCCGTCCCTTCCAGCTCCTTCCCACACCGAGGGTAGGAGGGGGTGCGTTCCTCCCTCTGGTGAGGTTTCCAGAACTAGGGACCCTAGCAGTGTGTCCTCACATGCAGAATTCATGTTCTCATTCACATGCTGAACTGCCAGTGATCTGTGCAGGAAGACAGAGCGGGTATGTCGCTATTTAAGGAGGCACTACCTGGCCTCAGGTGACCCTTGAGAGGCTCTGATGCATGCAGCCTCCCCGTGCAAGACAACCTCAGGCCAGCGTGTTCTGTCCCCACAACATTCCCATACGAAAAGAGGGTGGAAGGGAGCAAGCTGGCCTTTGCCTCAGTGGCTGGGACTCATCACAAAGGCCCTACTCTGGCTAGACAAGACTATCACCGATGCCACCGCCACTGGGGGGTTATCAGTGTCCTGGCTTACTGTCCCCTCCCTAGACAGACAGGGCTTGCCTCCCAGCCAGCCACCTCTCCCAGCAGCAGTGGGTACCAGATGATGTGTGGCAGCCACTTCTCCACTCTGGCTATGCTGGGGCCTGGGTCTCCAGTTGGTCAGCCCAGTTCTGCCTCCCAGTTCTCCAACAGCAACTCCTCCATTTAAAAAGAAGAACAACACAGTTAAAAATACCCTCTGTGAACAGGGGAAAGCAACTCACCCATCCCCATACATTTTCATAGAAACAGGCCCGGGACATCTTCTAAACCCGTCTTATTGTAATGGCATAGTGCGCTCGTGCGCGCGCGCGCGCACACACACACACACACACACACACACACACACACACACCTTTTCATGTAGATGAACATACTTATGCCTCATCGATTCAATAACTTCACATTTTCTTTGTCTCCAGCCGAGCCCCTAACTCCTGCTGGCTGGCTCTGCCATCCTACACTGAACATGCAGGGGGCTGGCTCTCAGCTTTCATGGCCTAGGTACCACTTGGAGACTTATGTGAAGCAGACTGGCCTCTTTCTCAAATTCTGGACATGCTCTTTCAAGTCATCCCTGCTGTGTGAGAATTTTCTGAAGCTCTGGCCAGGAGTAAACCCCTATTCCTGGAAGTCTTGCCGCTATTCACATCTATCCCCACACATTTCACTGCAAAATCTCATGCCAGCTTTGACCCTCTCTCTAGCTCACAACCAGGCCCTCTCTAGCTCCCAGATAGCCATGGGGTGGTGTCGATCTATCGGAGGTGACACAGCTCAGGGGCTCCCAGAGCTCCGCCATTAGTTTCCTTTCAGCTGTCTTTGCTGCCCTACCAGATCAAGACACAAGGCTCTCCCTCTTCAATCTCCCTGACGCACCTGGACATGCTTCCTAAGTCTATCGCCCTAGCCAGCCAGAGAAATGCCAGCTGCCACGTTATCCTCACTTGTCCTTCCGCAGCCCCACTGTGTCCCCAGCAGGCCCACATGGAGGAGGCTTCGGCTTCCCTGGACTAGCTACACAGCCTGCTGTGGGTCCCCTCCTCCTGGTGAAGCCTGGCTGCCTGCTCTCTGCTCCATGCTGCCTGGGCTGCCCTGCAGACTCACTCCAGGGCAATGGCATCTTGCTCACCACTTGTCCCCAAGGGCAGCTCCAGCCCCTCCTCCGTCCTCAAGGCTCGTCCACACTTCCTTACCCTCTTGGGTTCTGCCCCTCACTGGCCACTGAAGTGTCCTGCCCTGCTCCTTGAAGACAAGAAGGTCACTTCACCCTTCTCCAAGACTCTGAAGGTGCCCAACAGAGAATGCTGTCCCTCTGCAGTCCTTTGTCCTGCCTCCTCCCAGGTCCCTCCTCCTTATTAGATTCATCTCCCTGAGCCCGAAGCACAGCAGAATCTGATTAGCTCCCAGTGAGGAGCAGCAGCGGGGGGCAAGTGACCTGCCACAGCTTCGTCATGCTTCATACAATACACAGAGCAGATCTGGGCTGCCCTCGGCCCACACCACACCACACCACACCACGGCCTGCTTTTGCTGTCCCAGTCAGTCTCATGAACGGAGACCTCCTTGTGAAGGGCTCTCCACAAGGTGATGAGTGAGAGGGTGGCTTTACCATCCCACACTGGAAACCCTGTCCTGAATACCCCGTGGGATGAGCACCCACGCACTGTCTACGCACAGCATCCCAGGGTGAGGGAGGCCTTGTATGCAGAGGAGGGCAGGGATCCGCCAGCCAGTGAGCCCCACGCTCTGCACCAGGTGCTTGAACCTCTCTGTTTAACCCTCAGCAGTACTGTGAGCAGAACAAGAGTGTCACCCAATGTGACAGATGGGGGAAAGTAGGGCTCAAAGACAGTGGAGGTCGCACTCTGAGGTACCATCAGCAAACAGCTGCTTGGCTCACTGCTGCTGCTTTGTGGCTGGCACTGTTCGATGCTGGAACTCCACAGAAAAGACTTGAGCCTGCCTGCAGGGACTCCCAGACCAGTATTGAGAGCAGTAGACGTTACAAGGGCCATAGAGGGCTGTGGATGTAGCTCAGTGACAGCACTAGCTGGGCCTACTCAAGGCGCTGGAATCTGTCACCACACTGTCAACCATGGGGTGGGAGTGGGGCGATTAAAAACTCACTGGGGGGGAAGGCACCACCCTTTGCTAAAGGGCACACTCCTCCGGTCCCCCGCCAGCACAGTGGCTCTGAACTTCCTAACACCCAGTGACTGGGGTGACAGTGTCTCACTTTCCAACCAAGGCTCTGGTGACCCCTTCTGAAGAAGGGGTCTCCCTGGTCCCCGCTCACCCTCAGAACTGCCATAGGGCCAAGCATGGGTGGAACCTGCAGCTCTCCAGGAGAGAGCAGGTACCAGCAGGAGAAAGGGGATTTCAGGGGAGTGAGTGAGCATCGTCGTCTCAATTTCAGTTTATTCTCAGGTAGGACACCCAGCCGAGCAGTCCTGGGAGGAAGAAGGCCAGCCTGAGGAGGAAGTGAGGCGCACTGACCTCTGGGAATGAGGCCACTTTTTATGCGAAGGTAAGGCTGTAAGGTGTGAGAGGGATCTGTCACTCGCTAAACAGGGCCACGCCCAATGGGCAGGCATGGCTTGTCCATAGGTGACTCACATTCAGTCAGCGCTATGTGTGCAAAATCTGGAGTTACAGAAGAGCAGATGCAATCCCAGCACTCAGGGGCTACGGCAGGGGGATTCCAAGTTCCAGCCCAGCCTGGGCTACACAGGGAGACCCTGTTTCAAAAACAAAAAATTAGTGAGTTGCCCTGATCCTTGTGGAATCCTTTAGTAAACTGCTCCCTGCTGCAGCGCAGGTCAGTACAGCTAAGAGCTCTGTGCCTGGGGCAGATACCCCCGAGGCTCCGCCTGTGGCATGTCTGCATCTGCAGGAGTTGTTCCCCTGTATGCATGCAAGTCTGCATCATGGTCCCTTCCTTTCTGAGGCGGATGCTGATCACTACAGGCTGTGTTCCCAGAGCAGAACAGTGGGTCATGGCTTCCCAGCCTGGAAATGGCCCACTCTTGACCCTAGGTCCCTCGGATCCCTTACCCCTGCGTCCTCTCTCTCCTTCCTTCTCCTTTCTTTTTCTTTCTTTCAAGACACGGTCTCACAATGCGTAGGCTAGCTTCTAACTCGACATCCCCCTGCCTCAGCCTCCTGACTACAACATCACACTTGGTTCACACCAGAGTTTTGCAATTAATGTAGCCCCTTACATGGCTACTTTCCTTCCTTTCTGAGAGTTCAGGGTGGGGACAGGTCTCTGGGCTGTGACAGTCAAGTAGATACACCCCCAATCTCTACCCGCCACCTGCAGTCTGACTCCACTTAATGTAATCACACAGGGACATAGCTCCCCGCAGGGCTTAGCCTGTGCTGAACATCACGCTCCCTCTCCAGGCCCACTGTGTTTTATTAAAAGGCAACCATGCCTAACCTCATTATTGGTACCAGACCCTGCACATGTGGTACAGCCCAGGAGGCAGCAGCCGTAGCTGAGGGTAGCTGGACAGTAGGAAACCTGGCTTGGCCACAGCCCTCCCTATCAGCCGCAGGCTTTAATTGAGTTAGAAAAGATTACAGTGGGGGCAGGGACTAGAGCTTCCCTCGGTGGGTGAGATCCTAAAATGTGATGAGACAGAAGGCACAGAGAAGCTGAGCTGTTGCATGGGGCACCGGGGTGGGTGCTCCAGCCAGAAAGTGCACCCTAGGTCCTCTCCAGGCCCTGACTGTGCCAGAACCCACAACAGCTAAAAACAAATGGGTTATTTTAGAAGGGAGAGGGGAGCTTTATGGGTTGAAATGGTTTTAAGTTTTAATCCAATATGTATGTTGTCTTCATAGCAATGTAATTTGAAAATGTCGGTATTTATTTTCATGGAGGAAGGGCCCCAAGAATGCCAAAGCACCTAACACATCTCAGAGTTACGATGCAGCCTGGGTCACAAAGTCGTCAATTCAAAGTGTGTCCCACTGGTTACTACTGTGTCCTGTGGGGAAAGCCTTGTCCCTTCTCTAAGCTGGCCTCGTCAACTGTAAGGGGAGGGGCATGGAGACCCACGCTACTCCACTACACAAAAGTTAAATGGGAAAGATAGGCACAAGCGATTAACACAGAACCTGCCACCTGGCAAGTGCTTGCCAACAAAAATGGCGCCACCTGAAGGCGGCAGCGGAAGCGGCAGCAACTGCACATGAGGACGGGGCACAGATCCAGAGGGTCCCCACAGCACAAACCCCTCTCGCAAGGCCACCCCTGCCCACCACCAACACGTGCCCCTATGGAATAGGAACTTCTAGAGCATGGAAGGATGTCAGTCTGCTTTTAATCATTGTCGTTGGGGAGTGGCATGAATCGGGATCTCCCTCTGTAGCCCAGGCTGACTTTAAACTTGCAATCACCTGCATCAGCCTCCTAAGTGCTACGATTACAGCCACTTGTCACCACACATGACCCAGATGGTAGTTTTCATTTCTGGAATTGTACACTCCCACTTGTATTCTAACTAATTATGAGTGGATTTGAAAATGGAGAGTGAAGGTTGGTATGGTGGTCTTTAATCCCAGCGCACAGATCTCTGTGAGTTCAAGAAGCCTGGGTTCTGCCCACCCAGGGACAGTGGCCGGGCAGTGGTGGCTGATTCTACTTCTGGTTCCAGGAGCTCCTCCTACAAGGGGTGAGGTTGGAGCCGTCCAGCATTTTCCACCCAGATCCAAGTGCTGGGGAGCCATCAAGGTATTGAAGGGTGGTGGCGATGCTTTGTTTTGCTATTGAAAAGAGCAGGGCAGGATCCAAGAACTTTTCCGAAAGAATTTTAGAAAACTCTCAGATTGCCAAGACAGAGTGGCAATCAAAAGCGAAGCCAGAGTCCACAAAGACCCTTCTATGACTTGTGATGCAGCTCGGAAAGGGGAGTAGGGGTAAGAGGAGTGACCTGAAAGGGGACATGGCCAGGCCACCACTCGGAAATGTCAAAGGCGACAGCAGATCCCTCCTTCGGAGAAGTTCTGCACCTGCGTCACCGCCAAGGCCAAAGCATGAAGCCAGGCTTTCTGCCAGTCTAGGAACTCCTAACCCCACCCAAGGAAGGCGGGTGCAGAAGAAAGGATCTACCTGGCCCGCACCTGAGCGCAGGAACCAGCCGCGGGAACAGTGCGGGGGTTCGGCTAAGAACGGTCGTGGCAACCGCAGATGGGTCCTCTCCCACCCACTCGCTTCTAGAATATAGTCACAGGCCCCTAGGCTTTAACTCTGGCCCCCATTCCAACTCCAGCAGAGACGCGGCCCGCGGTCCCCGGGCCGCCTTTCCGGGTTCCCGGCAGCAGGAACTCCCGCGCCAGGCCGCCACCTCCCGGGGCCACTGCAGGGGACAGGCGGGGCGGCGCCCGGATCGGTGCGGGCAGGTGCGCGCGGGAGAGCGGCTCGAAGCCCGGCGTCGCCTGCCGCAGTCCCCGCCGCCCCTGCGCGTGGAACTTGGCTCCCCGGCGCCCTGTCGCCTACCTCGTCCCGCCGCCACCAGGCCTGTGCGCGTCCCCGCGCCGCGCCGCGCTGCGCCCCGGCTGCTCTGCCGGTTCCGCGGGCCTCGGAGTGACGGCGTCGCCATGGTGACGGGGCGGCGGCGGGGCGGCAGCGCGCACGAGGAGGCGACGGTCACCTGCGCCGGAAGAACCGCCAGGCGCGGGCACTCGGGGGCGCACGGCGACCACACCGATCCGCACTCCCGACCCGAGTTCCCGCAGCTTCGGAACCGACTCGGGACCGGCGTGGGGAGGAAATGTTGGCCATGCGGGTTCGGCGCCTCGGTTCCCGGTCTCTAGCCTCTCGCTCTCTGCTCTCGCCGCTTCCGAACTCGGGAAGCCGCTAGGTGTCAGACCCGGCCTGGGCCCAAGCTCAGCTCCGGGAACCCCAGAGTCACCTCTCCCAGCCCCCGTGGGCGGAGATGGCACTTTACACTTTACTGGAAGGCTGGGAATAACCCTGTTCTTACACCCGCCACACGGACACTGTTGTTGATAGTTTGCCTCCCACTTTTTTCCACTCCAGGACACACAAACACACACACTCACACACTCACACACAGGGAGGGGAAGAGGAGAGAAGAGACACCAGTCTAAGGATAGATATAGTTCTTCCAGCTTCTCATTTAAGGCCTAGACCTGTTGCCAAGGTCTGTACTTAAGACAGGAGGTTGCCAAGGCCGAGGCTGGGAGCTTGGGCAGCGGATCCTGGCCCCCTATCCAGGAAGTGCTTTGGGTAGATAAGAGTCCAGCTCAGACTTCCTACAAGCTGGGAACAAAAGGTTCTTTCCTGTTGGAAGCCTGGCCAGACTCACCAAAGGTCCAAGAATGGGAGAGAAACGGTATTTTCCCGTGTGGCAAAGCATCTTTGACTGTGGTACTGGCCTTTCCCAGCTGCCCTCCCCCAACGAAGGTAGTCCTTGGAGCTCCTCAGCACACTGGGAGCTTCCCACCGGAATTGGGGGGGGGGCTTCTTAAAGGGGATGCCCTCATATGTGAGCATGCTGTCTAGTGTATGATTGAGATGGAGACAAGAACCGGAATTGTGTCAAGGTAGCTCTTCATCTGGAGGAAGCTCCTGGACAGTTTGGGGTAAACAGCAGCTTCCTTGGTGTGCTAACGGGCAGACAGCAGGCAATGCATGCTTATAAACTAAAGATGGACCTGAGCCATTTCTCATTGTTTGCTGGGTATATTCGGGCTTCTGGGAGGAAAAGGAGGGACAGATTTGGCAAGATGGAATCGTGTTTAAGTGCTGAGTTCCCTGGCTACAGTGCAAGGGTTTCGGTGCCTTCCAAAGCCTGGGGAGACTCCTGCTGGGGGTCCATAGGACTCTGTGGGTCCTTGTCCCTGACCGATAGTGCTGTAGCAGACTGCATTGCTTTTCTCTGGAAGTGGGCATGTGTGGGACACATACACACACAGTGTTCTCAGAGGCCTGCTGAAAGTGAGATGCCATACTCCAAAAGATGGAGAGACCTGTGTCCCAGCTTAGGGAACTCAGCTGTAAGAGTTGATGTACCCCACTTTAAAGAGTGGGGGAGCTCGTCACAATGCTGTCAAACACTGGAGTTCAGCCTGGTCTAGCTTCTCGAGTCTCCAGCTCAGAATGGGGGACCTCCAAAACACCCTACCCCCTTTCTTGGTGCAGGGGTTCCTCCAAAGCCTGAGGGGTGTGTGCATCTGCAGCTTGTAGTGGGCCAAGGAGCAACCCCCCACTTCCCTTTCTTGGGCCACCATCCCATGTGGTCCAGGATTGGAAGCTGAAGATGTTTGTCCACAGAAATCCTCCCTTGGCACTCACACCCGCTGCTCTGCTGGTCTTGTGGTTTCTCACGTACACAGTGTTGATTTCTCCTTGGAATATTCTTTCCTGGATCATCCCTGAACTCATTCCTTCGAGTCTCCAAGCTCACTGCTTCAGAAGGCATTTCCTGACCACCAGTGAGACAGTATGGGAGGGGTTAGAGATGGGACTACCCCAGCCTGGGTGTGCTAGGGACAACTCAGCGGCTCTTGAGGCAAAGCTTGAAGGAGCAGAAAGGACACTGGACATGATGGACCCTGTTCTCATAACCAGGATGCTGGACATAAGACCCACTCCCAGCTGATGGTTTCCTTTTCCCCAGGGTTATCAGACTCAGAAAGCTGAGGGGAAAGTCAGGGTTCCCAGCTAAATTTCTATTTGAAAATTTTAGCGTGAATATATCCTAACCATTCCTCAAATGTAACCAGGTCTCCTGTTTTTATTTTGAAGCTAAGTTTTTAAATTTTTTAGCCATTTCACCAAGGAAGCCCAATGTAGGCTTACCTCCCAAGTGTTTCTGGGAGTCCCTAGAATCCAGAGGGATGCAAGAATTCATATGCCTGAGCCAAACAAATTTGTATCAGCTCTGTAAACTGGGACCTGCCCTGCCATGTCCACTGGCCAGCTCTCAACCCAGACAGCAGCATCCTCAGACCCCGTCTACACCATCCTCAGATTCAGGCAGCCGCATCCTCAGGCCCTTGGGAATTGTCTGTGGTACATAATGGCTACTGTGATGAAGTTAAAAATAGAAGCATGAATCACTCTGGAAGAGAGGTTTATCTTCCAGACGCATGGGCACTGTGGGTGACCCAAGGCGGATCAGAGCATCCATTGGAACAATTGCCATGGTGTGTAGAGTAGAGCAGTCAGGCAGGACACTAGCCACCAGGCTTCCAGAGCCACCAGTGAAGATAATGAGTTGCCTGGGACCTCAAGCACATTTAAGAGGTCAAGGAATATCACCCTACCCCTGGTTGATCCCAAAGCTGGTTCATTCTGAGAAAGTAAGACTTAGACAAATAGCAGAACTGTCCTTACTGAACCCAGGTGTGGAGAAGCAGAGAGGTGTGGCAGACTGACTCTTCCCTCTGCTGGACGCTGAGAGAACAGGACACTGCCAGCTAAGGGGCCAGCCTTGTGCAGGACGTGGGGTTGAGGTATCAAGGTCTTGATCAGGTTGGTGTTCTCTGCCAGTTAAAGAACTCCAGCAGGGAAACTCTCAAACCCTGCAACCAGGAGCAGACAGACGGCGTTTATTGGGAGTGTGGGACATGTGCACACAACAAACACTCACAGAAAAAGATAATCAAGCTGAGGGGAACTCTGAACCCCAGAAAACCCAGTCTCCTCTCCAGGGCTGAAGAGTCTCCCTCGCCTTAGTTAGGATTGGCCAGTGAGAAGACAACAGAGCTACTGATTGGCCCACAAGTGTATGTAAACATGGCCTAGTTCAAGGCCTAGTCCCTAAGCTCTGGAACCCCCAAAAAAAAAATGTTTCCCCAGGACAGGTTCAGATCCTAAGGCTATGGGAAGAGACAAGGTTACTACTTAGAGGCTGTTTTAGAATCTTAAGTGGTCTGGGGGTGCAGCTCAGTTGGTAGTGTGCTTGCATAGCCTGCATGACACCCTGGGCTGAATACTCAGCAAGCCATAAACTGGCTGTCAAGGCTCCTGCCTATCATCTCAGCAAATATACAGATATGGTGCTTAGGTTGTGTTTTAAAACCAGATCTCCCTATGTAGACCAGGCTAGCCTAACCCTTGCAATGATCCCCTGTCTCATTCTCTGAAGTACTGGGATTCCAGGTGTGTATATGCCTGGCTTCTCGGAGGTTTTCAGTGTTTTTTATTAACTTTTCTTATTTTTTTGTTTTTTGTTTTTTATTTTAGAGACAGGGTTTCTCTGTAGCTTTTGAAGCCTGCCCCGGAACTTGCTTCGTAAACCAGGTTGGTTTTGAATTCACTGAGATTTGCCTGTCTCTGCCTCCTGAGGGCTGGGATTAAAGTTGTGCACCACCACTGCCCAGCTCACCTTTTACTGTGTGTGTGTGTGTGTTCACACCTGTGTCCGTGCAAATTGCACAATGCACATACAGAGGTCAGAAGACAGCCTGTAGAAGCTGGTCCTTTCCTTCCATCATGCAGGTCCCAGGTCATCAGACTGGTGACAGGCACTAAAGAATTCTTAAATCATGACCCCTCACAACTCCCCCCTCCTTGCACACCTGCCACATGCCTTCTGAGGAGAATGACATGCCCTGGCCTCTGCCTAGCTATAACAGCTGCTGCTACCATCCCTTGCCTTGGACTTGCCTCTAGAGGTGCCTTTTAGAAAAAGCAAATGATTCCATGTGAACTGAAAATAGCCATCTTCCCCACCCAGGTGAGTCTTCTGTGTAACCAGGGCTCTGGCTACAAGCCCCCACGCCAGCTATACTCAGCTGTTAGCCTCCTCACACAGGAAGAGATGAGCGCTGACGAAGAGTGGAGATAGGCTGGATGTGTCGAAAACACAAGTACTGTCTTCAGGTACTAACTTTTGTCCATTGAGAGATGGTGTCGGGCTGGAGAGATGGATGGCTCAGCTGTTAAAGGCTAGGCTGACAACCAAAAATATAAGAGACAGTGTGTTGTAATTTAAAAAGTGGATCCAGAGAGGAAAACATTGTGCCACAGAGCTCACATGGAGGGTTTATTTTTATTAAGGGAAAGGGAGGAAGGGAGAGGGAAGACCGGCCTCTGGGGGCAGGAAAAGAAGGGGACAAAGAAACAGAGAAACAGAGAGAGAGAGAGAGAGAGAGAGAGAGAGAGAGAGAGAGAGAGAGAGAGAGAGAGAGAGAGAGAGATGGGAGGTGGGCAAGGCCCTTTTCAAAGGGAATTCAGTGAATGTGCACAGGTGATGCTCTTAGTGGCTGCAGCTGAGGGCGTACCCTGTCAGAACCCCAAGGACAGGCCAGTACAGATGTAGAATACTAACTAACACAATGTCATCTGCCTCCATGTGGAGGTCAGAATACAAACAACTCCGGTGCCCTTGCCTCCCGCCTCATTTGACACAGGCTGTCTTTGTTTTTTTGCCACTGCGGATGCTAAGCTAGCTGGCCCTAGTGGGAACTCTGCCATCTCTACCTCTTAACTCCCCTATAGGAGTGCAGAGATTGCAGACTGTGTATTCGACTTTACATAAACTTGGGGATTTGAACTCAGTTCCTCAAGCTTGCTGCGCAGGTGCTTTTACCCACTGAGCCACTAACCCCATCCCCCACCCCCACACCCGCCCC